TTTTGGTATAGACTGCATTAGGTTGTGTATTCAGAATTGTAGCGTTACCCCCCTGGAATAATATTATTTCCAACCCTGTATATATAGTATTATTCATGTTTTATTGAAATTTTTTCAATGTCCCTTGGAAGGGACATTGGGCTTTAAAAGGTTAACATTGTGCTTTTAAATAGATCCAGTTGGCTAAAATGAAATTAACAATTCTATTTTCATTGTTTTTTGCACTTGTGTTGATGTAGACTATTTACTGTTGAAGAAAAAAAGAGGCAGAATAAAAAGCATTTGTATGTTTTTTTTTCCTCAGACCAAAGACATCATTTTACTTCTTTTCAACGAGCTTGAGATGTGTCACGTTGGAAAAAACCTGTACAATGTTGCAAAAATTCTGCTTATATTTATAAGTAACAATAGGCCAGTAACAATAAGAATAAAGAAATCTGAAGGAAACCATTTACAATTAACCTAACTGGTCTTCTGTCATTATTCCATAGGATCTTAGTAAGTAACAAATAAGAAAAACAGAGTTCGCGTTTAAAAAAAGCGTAGCTATGAATCAAAGTAAAATCAATTTGAAAGGATCACAAAAAGTCGACTAAATTGAATCAAAACAACGATTATGATAGATTTTAATCGAAATTCACTGACCAAAAGTAATTACAGTCGATTTTTTTATCTTAAAGTCGAGAGGGTGTGGATGTCGGTGTGAGTACCTTTTTACTAGTCGCGAACACCCACACCCACATCCACCCCTACCGACACCCACACTACACCCAAACTGCACACCCATACCCTCTTGCGATGTGAAGCATGAATTGTCCGTCTATGTTCTATGGATAGAAGTTTCAATTTTACTTTAATTGTACACCTTTAGCTCACAAGCGACTTATTGGGCAGAGGTGAGTGTGGGAAGTTCTTTTTTCTACAATCATCACTACATCCTTGTCAACAGCTACACCCACACTCCACTCTGATTAAAACTCATTGAAATCCATTAAATCATCGTATATTTCAAATAGGTTCTTTGATTCAACGCATAACATAATGAGTAATACTACGAAAAGTGGACTTCACACTAATTTTGACGAAAAACAACTAAAAATGGCCAAAAAATACTTGACAAATTTCGTCTTCGTGTGGTACTTTCCTCAGATGGGAATAATAAACGTTTTAAGGTCCATTTTAACAAATCAAAGACTCGAATTATTTGATGACCTACAAAATGTTGCTCAAAGTATTCGTAAAGTTTATAGCTTCAAGAGCTGTGTTAAACTACTTCGTGAGCTCTCCCACACAGGTGTGTTCTTGATCGTATCAAATGATACAGCATTAGATGAAGAATCAATGTTAAAACTATCATCCTTTCTAAATGTGGAATATATTTACCATTTTGGATCTGATGATCCTTGGAAAAAAATAATGGGAGATGCTTCTAGCAATATTATTCGATTGTCACAAGACGAATCAGCTTTGAATATCTTACCATCAAATGTACTTTCCTTAAAACTAGAAAATCTTGATGCTGGAACACAAAGACTTGTCGCTAATTACGGTTTCACTGAATTCTTATACCACCACCCATATACATCTCAAGCGAAGCAAGAGTTTGTAAGATTCTCCAGAAACACTTATACGAAGGACGATGTCCGTTTAAATCAAATCTGTGATTTTGAAAAGCAATATCGATCAGAAATGGCCCTATGGTGGTATACCAAAGACAGCTTTCCTTTTCATATTCTCAATAAAACATTACGATCTTACGATCTAAGCTCAATGTTCAAAATTCGTTATTATATTTCTGATCTTTATTCAGAACTCGATCTGCTTTATCATTTACAACTAAAATCACAACTACTAAGTTGCATATCGAGATTATATCGAGGTAAAGTCATTCAAAGAGAAGAATTTGACGATTTAAAGAAAAGCATAGGAAAATATGCTGTTGTTAACTCATTCGTGTCTTACTCCGTCGATAAAAAAGTGGCTCTTGCGTATGTTGATAGAGGCACCCCAGAATCAACAGGCAATGTTTCAGTCGTCTTTTGTATCGAAAATAATGCCACGAAGGACTTTTCTAAACCGATTGCATTTATCAAAGAATATTCTGAAAAACCAGATGAATATGAAGTTTTATTATCTTCGGGAATCATTTTCAAAATTGTCTCGATCGATCGTCTTGATGTAAGCTTGTAGAGTGTTGATTTATTTTTATGACATTTATTTTCATTTAGGAAAATCTTTGGGAAATTCATCTATTCAGAGGCACCGAAGAACAACAATTTGGTGAAGAATTTTACAAACATTTTTGGTTACCAGATGGTTTCTTAAATATGCCTGTCGACATAGAATCAATTTTCAAGACTATAAATGATGGTCAATATTTTAAAGAATTAAAAAATGTGTTACCCACTAATTTCAGAACAACAAATTCAATCCCATCTACACAGCGTCATATTGCAAGGTTTAAAAGTAGGGTTTTTCCAGACAGTAAATGTGAATTGGATGATCCAAATATGCCACATTCTCCTGACATGGTAATTCTTTTTGTAGAAGAATAAGGAAGCGGAAGTTGATTTTTATATAAGTAGCTTATTATGACACATATCTACTTCATCATAACTTCGAAGTTATGCATATTTATTTACGATCGAGGATATTTTTAAATATTTCACACTCATATGTTGATTGAATTGATTCTTTTTACCTATCAGTAGGCTTTGATGCAACAAGAAAAAACATAAAAGGATAAGTGTCATTGGGTCTCCATTCATGACTTATGGTTATTTTATTCGGTATTGACCATCAGAGCTAAGTATTGTCATAAACAGGTAATGATTGAATGCTGACACCTTGAACTTCACTCATGTGCCAGTTTAATGGTCATTACAACATCGTTAAAGGTTCAGCTAAAACAAATAAAACCTTTTCGAGATGTTAAACTGCTTGGAAAAATTGATTTTCTTGACATTTTGATAGAATATGAGCATTATTTAAAAATTCAATATATCGAGAAGTAAGCATTTATTTTGACTAAAACTTTTATAATTTTATAACAGCCATTAGATCTAGATACGGTTAATATTTATAGTCGACATTCGATCATCAGGTGTTTCTGCTAATACCTAGAGCAGATGGTGAAAACTGAATAATACGACCATAACTTATGAAAAGAAATCCAATGACACTTATCCCTTTAGGTTTTTTCTAGTCTCATCAACTGCTATTTATAGGCAAAAATGAGCTCCATTGACATAGAACTATTGGAGAACTTTGCTCAACAATAGTATGTTTGCGTATCTTCATGGCCATACTGAGAGATATGATCTTTACAGACAAAGCAACATTTCATAATTCTATTCTTAGATGGAGTCTGTGTGCTTTGTCATAGATAGTTTTGGATTTACTTGATTTTCGAGAAGATGCTTAATGCTAGTGAATAAAGGATACTTTAGGATGATTGTCGCTCAATTAGAAAGCAATGTTGATTTGACGGGAAACTTTCAATAGTTGTAAAACCCAGAAATAGTAGTATCTCTATAAGTTTCAGTGTGACCGATCAAAGTTTTGCGTTATCATATTTGCTCTACCATATAGGTTCCCTCATGATTCCTTTAGTCGTCACCACACAAGAGTGTGAGTGTGAGGAGAAGATTCAATGTCACATGCACATTGTCAGCAGCAACTTTCAAGAACTTTACATAACTACCTTGATAAGATGAACGGAACAATGTTTCGACAAATCAATTGAAAAGTTGAAGTATAATCATCTACTCTTGTATAATTGAATTTGAAAACAAAATATCAATATTTTGTGATTTTCAGAAATATGACTCGATTTATGGAAAATCTGATTATTTCATTGGATAGAACTCTGAATCATGCTCCTAGACGAATCGCTGCTAACTTCACCTACGTGAGAAATTCAGTTTGGAGTCTGAAATTCTTATGTGATGAAGACTGAAGAGAAGACCAATTGTATAGTTTTGTCGAGCGAAATTTGCTCTATCAATGGAGTTTTTAACCCTTCCCCTCCCTATAATAGAAGACCCGAATCTTCTATTACGTGCAAGCATTTAAAGTTTTCAGGATTCTGTTTTATTTGTCTCACATATTTTCATAGTTTTTAGTTAAAAATGTTTTTCAGAAAATTCAAATGAGTTTGAGGTTTTAGAAAGATATTTCTGAGGTTTTAGGTGCCGAGAAATAATGTTTACCGGAGTATTTTAAGAGTTTCAGCTCACAACTCTGAAAACTAGGCATATTTTGATGTAAATATACTAATTAAAGTTACAATTTTTCTAGAAACTAATTAATTAAAGGGATGTTCTATTATGTCCGGTGTGTGTTTCCTCCAAGAGATCTTCTATCGTGGGGTGGATGGGAGGGAGTTTACTAGAAAAGACTCTTATAACTTCTTATGCAGAAAGTTACGAAATAGTGAGTGATCAAGTTTACATGGAAAAAGTTTTCAAAAAACCAACTACAAACCTATTCCATGTTTATTTTATAACTTGTCAGACGCAAACTAGAACAAACTAAGCATATAGAGGTTTTCGGTGATACTTATCCATTTCCAATCAAGAAATATGAGGACCAATATTTTTGGGAGTATGATTGTGTTTGATGAAGTAGTGAACAGTTTCTCAAAAAACTTAATTTTTTTATTTATCGTCTTCTATTATGTTTATTAGATGTCAGTGGAAGTTATAAACGAACAGCCGCAATTATTAAATACAACTCATAAGCTTGCTATACTTCATGCTATCAAATGGAAGTTTGTGATTGCCCTAGTCACCGTAGTTATCGGTGCGATAATATTGGGACCCATTCTTGCAATTCTTGTTCTACATCCTAAATTATCAGCTAATGCAACCATCCATTTCACAATAACAACTACAGTACAACGACAACGCCAAGCACGCCGACCATGAGGAGTGAAGCAGCAATTTCATCAGTATCAATTCACTATGTATTTTTGTTAGTATGCTGCGCTACTTTCTCTTGCTTAAAAACTGTATTTGACAATTTTCTTCATTAAATAAACACTTTTGTTATTAAAAATATGCACTGTCATCGTACTGATTACCGATGACCCTTACATTGGCACTCACAGAAATACTGACATTGCCGTCATTGCACATCCCAATTTCCTGTTATGCAACAAAAGTATTCTAATATCAGATGATTTTGCATGCTTTTTTAAAATATAATATGCCCGTTTGAATAATAAAACTCGTAGTGGAGATATTGGTTTGATAATTTTGACATTTTATTTGTATAACTTTTCGATAAGGTTAAAATATGCCATCTAAAAGATTTATCAAAATGGCAAAACTTGCCATTGAGATGTGTATTTTTTGGGTGAAAGATATCAGCTTGTCCAAAAAGTTCGTGCAACTGATCCCATACTGCATTCGTATATCTTTTCACCTACATCATCGTGTAGAGTGTGCCTGTTTACTGAGGAGATTCCCTCCAACCTGTTTCGATCGCTTCATTCCCTCTAGAAAAAGAAAAGATACTCACTGCCATATCCGAAAATGATTCAGACATGTGAAATATCATGCACTCACGAAGCTTTTTATTCGAAAAAAACTGAATTGTACTGAAATCACTAAACAATCTGGCATGCACGGAGGGTGTGAGTGTGGGTGTGAGTGAGTGTGGGTGTGGGTGTGGGTGTGGGTGTCGGTGTGGGTGTGACCGAAAGCAAAGCACACCCACACCCACACCCACCCACACCCACACCCACACCCACATCCACCCACCCACACCCACCTACACCCACCCACACCCACACCCACACACCCACACCCAGCCACACCCACACCCACCCAC